GCATTAGATGACGGGAACTGGAGGACATATGGGAGTAAGAGTTTTGTGACCCCCTCAGCCTCCACAGGCCCATCTGTTCCTTCATCCTTCAGGCTTAACACTACAGGCAGTGAGGTTTTTAGGACACAGGCCCCTTTTTTCACAAGTTCTGCTGTACGACAAATCTGGCCAACATATATTCACGAATATTCAAAGAGTTAAGTCTTACTTGAACTGTATCGGATCATCAAGAAGATCATTCAGCAACATTTTCCTGATGATCGAGTCTGATGGTTGCTATTCACTGACAAAGGTCAAGGCAAATAATCTACGCAAGTATATATCTTTCCTTTATTCAATTCTGTTTATAAGGGAGTTCAGTTGCATATGCATAACCATTGACTGCCCTATAGGTAGGGTTGGGCCCAACCAATCACAGCACTTCAATCCAATCTAAAAAGCAAAAACAGTAAATACCTATTGTTTCACTTTTGTGTAAGACAACCTGTGCTGTTTTTCTTGTCAGTGAATAGTTGGCTGTCACAAATCACCCTTGTTGGCCCTTAATTGTTAAAGCAAGTTACATCCTTCCTCTCTGCCATCAGTACTTGTTTCAGCGTTGACGAAGACTGACATTTTTCATGATTTCACTGAAAGCAGATCTGATGAAATTGGACAATAAAGTAATTTGTTTGTTTTTTTGTTTTTGTTTTTACAAGAAGTTACCATATAAGAAGCTAATGGTGTTTGCAGTTTTAAATTTCCTTCATTTTTCAGCCCTGGAAGTTCTCACTTTTACTAACTTAACTTTGAATGAGTCTTTAAATGAACTGCCACCTGTTAAGCTTTTTGGGTAATATAGGCAAGAGGCTTTGACAAGGTTGGAAAAGTGCAAGTGAAAAAAAACAAACAACTGTGTCTGCCTTATCAATTTTTTGCAAGCTGCCCATTATGAGTCCAGCAATACATGTATGGTACTGAATCCAGTGTAATTTTCATAATGCTATTTTCTCTTCCCTTTTAAGCCAACTATACCTGAAGCGTCAAGAGTAACGCTACTGAAAAGACCCTTCAGAGTGTTAAATATATTCACATTTGTACTCTCAAATGTTATTTTACCCATGGTCCATGTACATATGATTTTCCTTATTATGAGTATCACTGACACCTATCTTGCCATCCTCTTAGATCCTTTGAATAGAAACCTTTTCATACTTTTCAGGGCATATCTCATATAAATCCCTGCATAGTCCAGTCCAGTATACCCTATCTGCAATACATGAAAGCAACTTTGAACTTAAATGGAAATGTACTAAATAAATGATGAATCTACTACATTGCAATGCAACATTTATGCCTTACGTGTAAAGAAGGTAATGTATATAGCAGAATCATCTCATGCTTCTTCCTTTTTGAGACTCGGTCCATCATTTAAGTCCTGCATTGAAAATGCCTGATATAAAGGCATAATCGGGACAAGTTGGGGCAACTGCTGATTACTATTGTTGTGGATACAGCTGCTGTTTTTGTAATTTATACATATATTGGGTAATACTGGTGTTGTTAACTGTGCCAGTACAGTATTTCTGATATTTATCTGTAGTATCACATCAATTTTAAAAGTGTAACGAAAACATAGTGTAATGAAAACTTGAACCTATTTTTAAAAGGGGAGAGGGGGGCAAGGAAGACCAAAATAGAAAAATATTTGCAATTAGTCACCAAAGCTGTCAAATAAATGCAGTGAAGCAGAAGTCAAAACTTTCATAAAAAATACTTGAGTAAAGCCTGGTGATGTAAAGTTACGTTTATTTCAGGCTCAGTGATAAACTATAGCCATAAGGTACCATCAGATCTAAATGTTCCAGCCACGAAAGTACCCCGCACTGTGCGTGCGGATGGGAAGGATATCTCCGCCCAGGCACTGATCCTATTGGCGGATCCCGCTGTCAAATCCGGAGGGTCCTGCTCGGAAGGCTCCACTGATTGGCTACAGGGGTCTGTGTGTGTGTGCAGGCAGCGCAGTCTGTTTGAATGTGCTGGTGACTGAAGAGGATCATTTCCATGGACCATCTGTCTTACTGGCTGCGCACAAAACAAAGAAGGACCCAGGATGGTTTTAGTGCATGTCGGATATCTGGTTCTCCCCGTCTTCGGCTCAGTTAGAAACAGAGGTATGAAGAGCTTTATGTTCTCTTTTTTTTTTCTAACGCTAACCACGAAATAATACTTCTTCATTACTTGTCTTAAATATCCACAGATGATGTAAACAGAGCTGACACCTGCTAGCTAAAAGCGAGCCAACGTAACAGCAAGCGATACCGAAATTATATTAGCCTTCTTGCTAGCTGTAGCCGAACCGAGACCGCTAATGAAGCGACCGAAGACGTGAGCCGTCAAATGCCGACGAAGACGTTGTGTTTCGGGCCTGTAAACCGCACTAAAAGGACTTCAGCTGTCAAGTGGCAGCTTTTCTTTTCCCTTTTTTCTTTTTTACCCTCGGCGGCTAGCGCGCTTCTGTCTGGTTTATCTATTTATCCCTGCGCCTTGTTTATGTGTGTGCCGTCGCCGCTAGCTACTACAGCCCGGACAACAACGGCAGATTAATACTAGCCCAGCTTTATTTAGCTTACAACCTCCACAGCTTTTGTAAGGGTTTTCTTAAATTAGGAATTTAGCCAAGCTAGGGTAGACATCTGAATCCAAAGTGACCGTGTGTATTGCTATTTTCTTCCATTTTGCTCCTTTGTGTGCATCCTTTAAAAAAAAAAATCTCATTTCTGCGAGTTACTTTAACTGGATGGTTCTTCCACTGAAAGACAGCATTAGGCTAATCAGTGTAAATCACTATAAGCATATGACTGGTTTTTAATGCGAATAGGCTTTAACATTTTTGGAGCATGTCCCCGTTAAACCTCTAATAAAAATTATAATTAAAAAAAAAATCCCTGCAAATTTCGCTGCAGGTGCTCCAGTAGTGAAACAGCATAAAATCCGTTTAATAGGGCATAACAACAATAACATCATCCTCCACTGCAGCAGGGCTATCTGTGTTGATTATGTAATAATAATAGTAATTTGTCGTGCATTGTTAAAACTACATGCAGTAGCACCAATGATTTCATTGTGCTTTTATTTGTGTTCTTTTTTCCTGTTCCATAGTATCGAGGCTGGCTCTACATTCCGCATTTCTCAGACCTTTGTCCCCCTCCATTGTGTAGCTAACGATCATCTGCTGCTGTCTGCCGTAGCCTCTGCCTGTTCTCTGCATCTAGCTGTATTGTGAACCCCTTCTTCCTCATTTCCTCTTTCCATCTGAAGACGACATTGGCATTAAAACCGAGTTCCCACTCATACCGTATCCTTCTGTGTAACAGACTAAAGAATAACACTCTCTGTAGAAAACAGTTTGTCTTAATTTAAACTGTCATGTTGCTCTTTAGTGAATAACCCATTGTAGCGTTAGACTTTACTACAGACTGTCATTGTGATTCTCCCATTCAGTGTGGATAGACTACATTCTGCTGTAAATTTCTGTAAAGTGGATACATTTTGATCCTCCCCTCCCCGATTCGATTACAGCCAGGCTTGATCGAACTCTTTGATTACTCTCCTCACAAAGGTGCATTGTACCGCCTTTTTGTTGTCAAAGAAGCACTTTACAATTGCTATTACTAATAATCTTGTTATCCTGATAATCACTAATTGGCATGCGGCGCTTAAGTCATTTTGTTTTTGGCAACGTTATGTTTTTTCCCACATTTGAAGGTCCACTGCACCTGTTAATGGTTGCTGGTCATAATCCTATCCATGTGTCAAAGCATTTGTCCCTGCTAGCTGAGCGGACTTCACAATAAATTGGAGAGATGTGAATCTAAACCCATTTTGCCATTTTTGCAGCGCCCCACCACCACCACTACCACTCCCTCTCAAATCTTACCTCCAGCACCTCCAGAATGCTATCCATTTTACAGGGATGTGTATATCCTGCACTGCTGTAGATCTCCTTTTTTAGAATCAAAATGTCTTTTTTATTCTTTGGTTGTGGTTTTTCTGCCTTATGTTCTTGTATTAGATCCTAATGCATGGTCATTTTATACTTTTGTTTTTCCACATTGAACAGCAGATTCCAATGTAATCTTTGTGTAGAGATGTCCCTGCTGTACTGAAATGTGCTGTAAGCATACACATCTACTCATTGGATGCTGCTTCTGTTCTGTTAACCCTACAGAGAGCATGGTCAGGCCTTGCCTTTGGTCTTTATTTGCATGGGATTATTATTATTATGCTTATGTAGAGTCTCTTACTCTTATTATTACTATTATCACACAGTGCCACACATACTAATATTTTTCCAATAAAGACTGTAGTTTTCTTCCTAACCTTCAGTGTGCTTTTTGCTGATTTCCATGTGTTCCTCCCCCTCCTCCCTCCGCACTGTGCTGTCACTGAGACGGTCCCCTCACTCTATATGTGCTCTCATTTCTCAGCTGTCTTTGACAGAGTTTCTTCAAGTTGCCACACTGCTTACTTTGGAGTAGGGGCAAGCACATTTTCTTTCCATTTTTAAAATGCAAAGGCATGTTTGATATTGAAACGTCGACACTGACATTTCCTGTTACAGGCTGTCATTCCGTCCAAATCCATACACTACCTATAGACCAAAACACAGCCTCCCTCACAGCCAATCATTGGTGTTAACATTGTGAGCAATATGGGTGAAATCCATGGTAGGTGTAATATATATATTTTAAAATATAGTTAATAGAAGTATATTGCAAAAAAAAAAAAAACACCAAAAGGAGTTAAAAATTGTAAAGTAAATAAAATAAAAATACAAGTGTGCTGCAAAAAAAAGAAAACCTATATATATTTTAAAATATAGTTAATAGAAGTATATTGCAAAAAAAAAAAAACACTCAAAAGGAGTTAAAAATTGTAAAGTAAATAAAATAAAAATACAAGTGTTTTTTAAAAAAAAGAAAAAAAGCTGGCATGCTATATAAAATGAAAGAAAAAAAACAATATAATTTGCAAGCAAGTTAAACCCTATATTTAATAAAATAAAATAAAAGTGAATTAATGAAGCACAAAATAGAATTTAAGGATTATTCAGGCCTTTTTCCTTTTCTTTATGGAAAACATAAATAAGTTCTTGTTTTGAATTTGATGCCAGCAAAACCTTTCAAATAAGTTGCGACAGGGGCATGTTTACCACAGAGTTGCATCAGCTCTTCTAACAACACTCTTCAAGGGCTTGGAAACTATGGCAGACCGGTTGCTGTAGATTTGAAAGAAACATGTTTTCATGTAAGATTTCAGCAGCTCAACACTTCAGAGCCCCCTTTGTTATATACATGTTATTTATTTAGCTTTGGTTTGCATTATCTAGATTGTTGCTACTGGGTGATGGCCCTGACCTGTTTAGCCCCTGGACTCACTCGGTACAGAGCCATACTGCTGTAATTCGTGAGGAATGTTATTTTGCACGGTCTTGCTGAAAAAAAGCAAAGGCTTTCCAAAAAAGAAGTCATCTGATCCGATACCTGTACATATCAAATTGTTCAGCATTAATGGCGATTTCACAGATTTGTGAAAGCACCATCAAGATTTGTGAAGTTACTCATAATATTGTTCACTAATGTATGCGCATATCATCAGGAATGGTGCCATTTTTCTGAATTATATTTATGTATAATTTGTTTGTTTTTGCACAGTGGTTTTGAGAAGTTGTTTAGTCCACTTCACAGATTTCCACCACAGAACTGAAATGGCGCCGAAGAGTACTGCCGTTCAGTGTTGGTTTTCAGCTTTTCCCCCTAAATACAGAGAATTCTTAGAATTCCCTTAATCTTTTAAACAACACTGAACTGGAGATTATATAACCCAGTGATAGTGGAAGATTATGGAGATTGTGTTTTACTTTGAGAAAAAAAAAAAACATTGGTGAAACACTCAACATAGTTGCATCTAAAAGACTCTGTTCTCTTTTTAAACCCAATTACAAAATTGATCTATTTTCAGTTTACCCAATTGGAATCAATACTGTTTTTTTAGAAGAGGTTTCAGGCATTTTACTAGCTGGGTTTTCCCATCTTTTTGGCCCCTGTTCTAAAAAGTATAGCTTACAATTCAAACTGAGTGTATATAAAACAAAAACAGGAAAGAAAAATAGGATAGTCATTTGTTCTCTTCATGATCACAAAATCAGTACTGCTACCTTACCTTGTACCTTAGCAAGATGGCTTGAACAAAAGCCACCAAGTGGTTTTGTCTTACAGTGACAAAATCTACCTTCCAGCACATCTGTCAATCATTCATTGACATGTTTTAACTGAAAAGTGTAAAAGTACTATCCACTAGAATAGAGATAATGACTACCTATTAATTGGTGAGTTTTGCCTACATATTGAGTTTGCTGCCTCCTGGCTTTAGCCTTTAACATCAGTACTCAGCTATAAGAGCAATATAGACTTGACCTCCAGCACAAAGTGAACAAGTAGACAGTCCTAAATGTCTAGCTATTCCTTTTTGCAGTCTCCAAATGGGTACCGCAAAGACAATACAGAGGTTCAATAATTAAACGGTGGCTGCTCAGTCTGTGCATTTAAACTTGTGTCTCTGTGGTATGCAGTCAGGTCTTCAGCTGGTGTTTTTCTTTATTAGCACAACAGACCATGACACATTTATATTCATGTTGCCTTTCTAGCTGGTGACAGCAGCATAACTAAACCCAGTTAGGCTAACGCTGTTTCTCAAGCACAGATAATGTGTTAAACTCTGAGTAATGAGTGCAAATGAAATAAAAGAAGTCACATTTTTTTTCTTAGTAGTAACTCATTTCTCTTTACATGCTGGCTATGCACATCAGCCAACTGTGTAATGACTTTTCATTTTTATCAAATCTTCAGTTTTTTTAGACATCTGTTGTGTTTCTCTTTAAATGTGGCATTAGATGCTTCTTTGAAAAGTTTCTATTTTAACACTTGACTCAGCTGCGTGAACCTTACATCTGCGTGCAGTGTCTGAAAAAGGCTAAAGGTGTGTCCGAGGCACAGCCATGTGTGCTCTGCAGCTGACTTCTAAATATCCCGGCAGCTGCACTGCATGTGCGGCTGCACTGATACAAAACCACGAAAAGCAAGGTCAGCACAATGGTTTTCCAAGCATGTGCATGTTATGCTGGATTTTTTTTTCTTCACCAAGTGCAGCTGTACAACACATGCACTGATTTTGCCTCATTAATCCTCACCTTCTGATGGTGAGTGTTATAATCGGCGACCTCAGCGGGTGTGGGGACGGTTTCTGCCTAATGGGAGACCAGTGAGACAGGCAGAGGACAGGGGTGTGTTAGAGAGGAGGTGTGATGTAAAGCTGCAGTGACTTCAGGAGGAGTGGAGGGAGAGAGAAAGAAAAGAGTTGAGGTTCCATGTCAGACTGCTGCAGTCGCAGGTGGGTGGGGCTTACTGGCTGTCACTCACTGCGGGACACCATGCTGCAGCCATGCTGTGGGGGAGGGGCCGCCTGTGCAGCAGCTGAGGGGAGAGGATAGGTGGAAGTGTGTGTGTGTTTCTGTCTGTGAGTCAAAGACAAAGCCTCAGATGTAACAGTGGAAACATCAGGGCTGCTGCTGCTGGCAGCTCTGCAGTACGTCAAATATTAATGCCAGCAGTTCATGCTGTGAAAAGCTCCCAGAGACAAATAATCTGATATTTACCCTGAACTTCACACAACAGTCCAGCTTTGCCGGGTCACAGGCTTCATGCAAAACTGATGCACAGCCTTTAACCAATCCAAGCCACCAGTCTGCCATTTCTGCTCTACTTCCTCAGCCAAATGCTGTTTTTCACTTTGCCCGTGGCTCTCTGGGTTCACTGGCTTTCCATGTCCCGAGGCTATATCCAACAAAGCAAAGCCAGACAAATATGTAGTTTCAGCAACAAAAAACAGAGCATTTTGGGAAATGCGCTTGTTTCATCTGCACAGGACTTTATCAAATCATAACCACTTCCCTGCACATCTAACTCTCCTTAATTGATTTGCTACGTCTTAAAATAAAAACAGTGAAGTAAAAGCAATATTTCATTTTCTGCCGTTGAGAAATGTTACACACTTGTTAAATTTTAAATTAGATCTCAACTCAGTGAACCAGCTACTGTTAATTAAACTTGTCAGCAAATGTTAAGTATGTCATAGACCATTAACAAAGAGCCAAATCTACAATGTGGCTTCATGTTATTGTTTGAAAGATTATGAGTAAACAGTCTAAATGGGCAGTTCTTATTCATGGGACACGCAAAGACACAATACTGACATATTTACGTATACACTGTGCGCTATCCATCCTCCAGATCCCGCTGTCTGCTTTCCTCTCGAGAGGAAATTTAGAGAAGTTTTAATTGGAAGTTAAAGGAGTAATACTCTCAGCTTGCTTCCAGCATTCATTTCTGTGAGCTCTGAGTAATTTGTATTGATTGTTTTGTGCAAGTGCAACACCAAGGTGACTCAGTGGGACTAGCACATAACCTCCCATCTTCTCTGCTTAGTAGGAAGGGTGGAGAGAAGACAAAAATGAAAGCCCATAAACTTTTCAGCCTTTCTTGATGGCTATGCCGCATTACTGTTATCTGACTCTTTAGTTGAGAAAGCCTCAGTTTAATATGTTCCTTCAAACAGCAAACGCAATAATAATAACAGAGTTTGAAACTATTGGTTTTGCTGGGATTCATTTTGGAAATACCCTAGACCCCCAGTTAGTGAGGATGCGTCTTTCCTGTTGGCTGCACATGGCAAGTGGAGACGCAGACCATTGAGTGAAATCCATCTGTGGGTTTAGTTGGTGCTCCACAGGGTTCTCCATGTCTGCGTCGTCCATCTGCTGTTTTGTCTGTCTTGTCTTTTCCTGTGTCACGTTCCTCTCTGCGTGGCTGGTTTTTAAATGTGTTTGTGTCTTTTTTACGAGTGTGTGCGAAAGTGCTGTTGGTTCGTCTCCTTGTCGTGTAAGTTTCAGTGAAAGCGATCGCAGCTCCGTTTTGATCCCTCGCATTTATTCCCAATAGGAGCGCACTTCACCAGGCATCAACACAGCCATGCTACCTCCTGCCGACACTTTCACCTGGGTGCTCCCCAGGCGCCCATCTCAGCTGAGTTTCCTCTAGGACATGCCAGCCAGCCCCCGCAGACAGGCCTGGCCACCCACCTGCCCCCGACGCACCATCCACCCCTCACTGCCCTGCCCGGACCCCCTCAGTTTCAGGATGTGCCGGGGCCTTCATTCCTACCTCAGGCCTTACACCAGCAATACCTCATCCAGCAGCAGCTCCTCGAAGCGCAGCATCGCAGGATCCTCCCACACTCCAGGTAGTGACCCTTGCATCCATACAAACACAACTAAAAAACAAACAAACAAAAAACCCAGATATTTTTAAATCAAATCTCTATCTAATTACAGAAGAGCCCAGGAGCGTATTCCCCTGAACCCTCACAGACTGCGTTCGGGCTACGAGTACTCCCCGCCCCTCCATGTTCCTCAGCCAATGACACAACAACCGCGGTACCTTGCCGAAGGCACCGACTGGTGAGTCACCGTTGGGGATTAACGAGAATCCTGCAGAGTTGAGAAATGATCCCGTCTTTTTTATCTTTCCACCCATCTGTCTGTCTGCCACATTGCCTGGCATGGGCTGTTAATTTAGCCACGTTCCTCTCTTTCTGCAGGGATCTCAGTGTAGATGCTGGCCTCCCTCACCATCAGTACCAGCTCCAGCAGCTTCCGCAGCACTATCAGCATTACCTGGCCTCCCCTCGAATGCATCACTTCCCCAGGAACACATCCTCTGCACAAGTGGTATGTTGGTCACTTCCTGGCCTTGGATAGCTTGATAGTTTATATTCCTGCTGTAATATAATGATTTTGTTGTAGGTTGTGCATGAAATCAGAAACTACCCATACCCCCAGCTTCACCTGTTGGCGCTGCAAAGTTTAAATCCTTCGAGGCACGCCACTGCTGTGCGAGAAAGCTATGAGGTAAATCTGATTGTCCATCTATCAAACTCTGCACCTTCCCACGGTGTCACTTTAAGTTATATGTACCAACTGTTTTAACTCTAACTCTTTTAATCAGTATGAGCTTCATAAGCAGATTTTTTCATTCTTTCCTGACCATGAAAACAGCAGTGAACCAAACCATTTGTTGTCCATGTAGTAGCTTTTTCTCTTTTTAGCATTCTGGTTCATTTTATTAACTGGGCTGTTCCTGCAGGAGCTGCTGCAGCTGGAGGATCGACTGGGGAGCGTTAGCAGAGGAGCTGTTCAGACAACCATAGAGAGATTTACTTTTCCACACAAATACAAGAAGGTATGGCAGATGAGACAAAAATCTGTTGAACGTTTGCTTTTTTTTTTCCCTTTTGTTTTGACCCTACATTTCTGTCTCTCTGTAATGTGACCCACGAACAGAGAAAGCCCCTGCAGTTGAAGATTGGGGAGGAGGAGGAAACAGATGTTGATGAAAAATGTACCATATGTTTGTCCATGCTGGAGGACGGAGAAGATGTCAGGTAATAATTACTTTGTAGACCCAGAAATCATAAAAAAGGGAAGTGCACTCATTCTGAGTGAGTTAAATGGGAAAATCTATACCAAATTGTTTTGATGGGAAACATGATGCTGCAGGCTGCAGATGATGAGCTTAGCTCAGAGATGCATTGCAGGATGGGTCTAGACAGCAGGGACTGATGGGGAAGACGAGATGGAAGCCGGACTTCCTTTTCTATTATCGTAGACAATATGACATCATTGAAAGACAGATAAGCTAATTGCCTGAGTGAGACATCGAGCAATTGCAAGAGATAAAAGAGGCACGACTACAGGAATTACTCCAGATCCCATTATCAGCGTTGCCTTCTAACATTTTTGTCTAATTTTTGTTTTCCACTTTATAATAAATATCACTTTACCTGACTTGTTGTCAGGTTTACTGATAATCATGATATGATACACCACATCTCTGTGTATTGTCTGCAAACTCCTCCTGTGCAGTCTGTAGCACAGCAGCCAAACGTTGCACACAGGTACATCTTAGGTCCCTGATGCTTCTTAACCACCTACCAACAAGCTAAAGTGGACTATTTTGAGCTTTTACAGAGCTATAACACCTTAAAATGTATATTATTTTGATTCAAGGACAGCAACATCTAACTGATATCCAGACAACTTAAAAACTATGGTATATATGATATAATGGCATCAGGTTTCCTGGCAATAAAGGACTAAAGGACTAACTAGTCAGAACATGAGCATGGGCCTGTAAAAGTAAATATAATAAATACAATATCATAGATTTATATACTTTAGCTGAAAATTGTACATCAGGAGTAATAAAACCTTTTAAAACTTGTGAAGAATTTGCAAGTTTGCTCACTTACAAAGAAATTAAGTCTCATAACAGTTTGCCATCATTTTATGGTTGTTTCACTGTAATGGTGATGGAGAGAATGTCAACAAAAAAATCCAGAAGAAACATTACATAAAAGTTATACACTGATTTGATGTGTCATTGGGTGAAATAAGTATCTGATCTCCCAGCAAAATATGGCTTAGTGCTCGTAAGTACCAAAATTTATAATGTTTCCACCTCCATGCTTGACTCTGGGGATTGTGTTGGGTCATACTTAGCATTTCCCTTCCTCTAAACACGGCGGGTTGAGTTGATGCCAAAGAGCTCAATTCTGGTTTCACCTGACAGTGCTTTCTTCTCTGAATCATTTAGATGTTTACTGGCAAACTTAAGATGAGCCTTTACATGTGCCTTTTGAACGGGGACCTTCCGAGTGCTGCAAGATTTATCAACTGTGTGTTACCAACTATATTCTTGGTGACTTGGTGACACAGCCAATCTGTCGGAGCCAGTATTCTGGCTGGGATGTAGAGGATCAAATACGTATTTTACTCAATCACATGCAAATCAATGTATAACTTTGATGTGTTTTTTTTAATATTCTGTCTCTAAACTACTTTAAATTAGAATTAGAAACTGTTCATTTGTTTGGAAGTGAGCAAACTTGCAAATACAGTCATTTCAAATCATCATTTCATCCACTGTCTATGTTATATAATGTAAGAGTTTCTGACAAATACCAAGTATTTACTTCTTCCCATTGTGTTTCTGCCGACCTTCTGAGCAAATCATTCATGAGAATCTTTCCAGTCCTGTACCACATGTGTGCATAAATGAGCCTCTGCTATGAGCTGTTGCCAGACAAATAGCTGAGACTCTAGGAAGCTGCTGATCATGGCTAAGAAATAGTCCAATCTCAAGCCACCCAAATACCAAAATTTAGTTACATTTTTTTTGTTGTTGATAGTTGTATTTTCACATGGAGACAAAAATCCCCTTTAGTGTTGCACCAGGAAAGGCATCCACCATAAAACTGATCAAACATGCAGAGCTACCTGCTGCAGTGACCCCTTGTGAAAATGGAGCTGCCGAAAGTAGCCTCAATGCAGAGGCAGAAGCATGGCAACAACCTGCTTTTCAAATGCTGGAATTATAATCCCTAAAATGTTCTGTTCCATTACGCACATGCATTTGAAACAGTGGTTGGGAATGAATTTTTAGGTAACAAGAACTGTCCCCCTGGGTGAGGCGAGAGGATCGGTTTGCAACATAAGAGTCTCAGCTGTCTGAGAGGCATTTGGGACTGACTACTCAACAACAAAAGTTGTCTCTACATGCCTGAATGAACAGAATTAACTCCCCGAGGGTCTTTTTAAGCTCACAACTGTATGCACTGGAAAAGTAACACACAATCATGTGAATCCACACTGACCCTAAAGTTTGTCTCTCCTCCTATCCTGCAGGAGGCTGCCCTGCATGCACCTCTTCCACCAGGGCTGCGTGGACCAATGGCTGGCCACCAGCAGAAAGTGTCCAATCTGTCGAGTTGACATCGAAACACAGCTGAACCCCGACAGCTGATGAGATTCGACACTCTCGTGATTCAGTCGCCCTCGTGGTGCGATTCTTGCTTTCTTCCACCCCCGGCTCGCCAGCCTCCCCCACCTTACCCTACCCCACCCCACCTCCCTCCACCTCCTTCCCGTCGGGTGCTTTGCCAAATGTCTCCAGACTTCATGTGACATCACCACCCTTCTGAGTCACGCTTTACTGAGCCAAGCCAGGAAAACTAACTGCACGGAGAGGCCGCAAAGGACTCTCTTTATATAGAAGCACATCCCTCTGGAAGCAAAAGACACACTAACAAACACATACTCATGTACACAGGGTTTACTTGTAGCTTGCTGGTCTTACGTGGGGTTGTTGTTGCTGTTGTGGTGTTGTACTGTAGGTAGCCTGGGGCTGTGTAGCATGTCCTCAAAGCCATGACTTAATGTCCTGAGACTAGAAAACACATAACCCCAGACCTAGCTGGCTACTTTTCTCTCTTCTCTTCAATCTCTCTCTCTTGCTCTCTTTTTACACACACACATATATATATATACACACACACACACACACACACAAATATATATTTCTCTCTTTTTAAACACAATCAAAATGAATATTCTGCCACGCAAGAAAGCTTAACAGAATCTAAATGCTCTGATGCCATGTTTACCTAAAGATCATTTGTGGTCGTAGTAGAGTAGCAGTAACCAATAAGTGAGATCTGGTGCGACCTCCTCGAGGCCAAGCACCAGCTAGCTGGGTGTTTTAATTCTCTCATGCAGCTTTTGACATTTCGCAGTACAGTTGTGCGTTTACCTTGGGTTGGTGTCATGTGCAGATGGTGTGATGTGATTAGGTCTCATTCACTGTCAGGGAAAACCCAGTGACTGAGATGTTTTTGTGTTTGAAATTGAAAAAAAGAAGAAGAAGAAGACAAAAAAAATAATAGTGTTTTCACCAAAATGCATTATGTCACAGTGTAGCTTGAATCTCCGCACAGGTTTTATGTCCACTGTCCATGCCATGTGTCACTTCAAGAGACTGCGTCTCACACAAACGTGTTAGGTGAAGAGCACGGCCACTGGAGTGCTTATACAACACAAAGCCAAAAGAAACAAAAAGAAAAAACACAAAAAAAAAACCTGAAAAGGGATGAACAATAGAAGCTATCATGCACTGCAGAGCGAGGTGGGAGGATTTAGCTGCCCTTGTACCTGCATTTCCGTCTGGCACTAGGCCAGTGGCAGAACAGTGCACACTAAAAAACAAAAAGGAAGATTGCATGTTTCATTTTTTGGGTTTGGGGCTGTTGGCTGTGGTAGCGTTTCTTCACTTTTAAAAGGTACAGAGACGCCTGTGCATGACTTAGTTAATCTGAGCTGTGACTATCTTCTGAACACTAACAAATATTAATAATAATAATAATAATAATTTTTAAAAAGTCAGTGGTTTGCTCCCCTGACTTGTAGCGCGTGTCATCCGGTTCCCTTTGGTGGCGACCTTGGGATCCTGTTTTTTGATGTTTACCTTATTGCCTAAAGAACAAGCACATGTGACGATAGTTATAGCAACAAAAGTTTCTCCTCGGCATCGCGTTTGGTTTATATATAGGTACGGATTCATGCAGTGTTTTGAGCTGGGAGAGGAGCTTGCGTATTGATCTTGTGTTATATTTGTGTGACAGACCTCCCCTCGTGGTTGCTATGCTGGTTGCTATGCTGTATTTGCTAGAACATGTAGAAACGTGGTGCGACGGAGGCAGCCTCCCTCTCACAGTGCACACAGACACGAGACGACAGGACAGCAGGAAAGCATTCAGGCTGTTAAAACACGCACTCTCTCTATCACCATTTCTTCTCTCTTTTTTTTTTTTTACCCTTTGTGTCAGCTTGTCACTTCAGTTCCACAGAGCTGTGTGTGTTTGTGTGTATGTGTGCGCGTGTGTTACAGGACGCCTTTAGGACCCTCACTGTCCTCTCTGCACTGTGATAGCATATAACAAGGGTAACACTTGGCCCAGAGACTCAATTAACAAGGCTTACTTCTTCCTGTCTTGTGCACTGCCAGTGTTGACACTGCCTCCTCCTGTAGTGGAGTCATCCGTGATGAAAGTTGTCATAGTTTACACAGGGTGTTGTCAGTTGAGATGCCTTAAGTATTTAACAATCATAATTTATTACTAACTGTAGATACTGTGGGTATGTATTTAATTTTATATAGTTTTTTTTTCGTTTTCTGGAGTTGGGTTGACTGAATCATAATTTATTTATTTACAAATATAACATGAAAAGGCTATTAAAAATGGATACCTCATGTTTTTTTGGTTGCATTGTTTTAAATGGGAATGCTTTGCATGCAGTTGTACTTTTTCGGAACACTAAAAGTAAAAAAAAAAAAAGGGGAAAAAAGTTCTGCTGTTTGATCTCCACAAGCTGGCTGTGCGATGTTTACTGACCAAGGCTGAGCTACTGAGCCCGTTCTTTCTCTTTCTCTCTTCCTGTCTCTCTCTATGTCTCTTTTTCTCTTTCATGTGGTGCTGTGGATCTTGGTTACATTCCATTCAATGCAATCTCTCCAATCCCCCATGCTGTGATGTAGTGAACAAACTGCAAGTGAATTGGTTTTGGTTTGTGACAACTTTTTTCTTTTTTTCCCTTTCTTTTGCACTAACTTGTTTAAAATGGGAACCCTCTCACTGGCAAAAAAAAATAATAACAATATTTTAGATTATTTAAATGAACTGGCTTTTATTTTTTTATGCTCTGCTTCTCACACAATGCACTAAGGGTCTTAATGAAACATGTTCCTTTGCTTTAACTCTTTGTGTTATCTCTTCAGTTTTCATCTCTCTAGTGTTTCTCTGTTCGTTGGTTTCTTATGTTGTTGTTTTTTTTTTCCCCAAAATGCTTTGTAGATTTAAGCATAACAAGTGCCTCGCTTTAAGTGTTAGGGGATATTTCCATATAACGGAAACCATGAACAACAATCAGTCCATCCACCATGCCTTACTGGTTGCTTAGTTAATTAAATGAATGGAAAACGAAGGAGCTGAGACAACATTTGACTAAAGCCATTATAATCAATCAATCCAAGTCAAGCTGTCCAAAAACTAGCTGCCGGTTTGTAGTACCGAAGCACTGCATTGCTGTGGAAATAGCTCTGACTATAAAGAGGCATGTTTCACCGTGGGCTTTACAGCGGTCCTTTCGATGTACTTCTCCATTCTGTTTTCTCCTCTTCTTTCCATCTCCGTTTGATTTTACCGTCCGTCCCCCCTCTCCGACTCTCTCTCTGTTTGCTTTCACAGTCTAAAAAAGGAAGGCAAGGATTTAAAGCACAACCTTTTCTAAAGAACAAAAAAACAAATGCATGTTTTCTCAGGTTTCAGTGTAGTCGCAATGGTTTCATAGTATATGGTGAAAATATATACAAAGAATATAACAGAAAAAACATTATAAATTTTGTTGCTGCTTGAATCTGACAAAAACCAACAAGTGAAGAGAAACTATCCCAAAAAGTGCCAGTGAAAGGGCTGCCGCCATCCTTGTATGAAAACCTGCTGTTTAGCTGTGACTGCGCAATGTTTTTTCAAAATAGGATATTTTATCTGAAAATAGAACTATTTATCATTAATATTAAAGCAATAGCGCATTAAAATGGTTTTGAGCGTGCTGATGATGAAGTGGATGAGCCTGTTATGGGTAAATGTTAGATTTACATTTGGTGGAATTTTGTACTTTATTTATTATTACTACTACTAATAATGATGATAATGATCTCAAAGGTTGCATTGCTAAACCCAAACTGTTCTGTTTTTAATTTTTATTTTATTTCATGGCTTGTATATTATCCTTTTATATGTGCTCTTTTTGTAATAAACTTGATAAAATGGAAGTGAACCTATTTTTTGCGTGTCCTTTTTTTAAAAACCCTCAAAATGCAGCAGTTTTATACTTCATCCTTAGTGAAAGGGAAAGCAAGGCAACAAGTTGGTTTAAAAAAAAAAAAAAAAAGATATTGTACTCATAAATTTATAGCGTTTTACGTATGTGGCTAGAGATCACCCACATGCCAAAAGCAGAGAAAAAAGAGAACTGGGGTGTAATGTAAATATATGTTTTATCAGCTTTGATGGGATCTCCTTTACCAAAGAAGTGAAAACACAAAGAAAAGAGGCAACAGCACCAGCATCTGGATATAAAGTCATCCTCTTCCTCCTCACCTCAAGTCTTATCTGCTGAACTGAAGTCAGGACAATAAAACATAAAAATGAGTATAAACATCCTCATTTATTCCTAATATTATTCCAATTACTTATTGTCAGAAGATTAGACTGTTATCTTTCTATCTCCAGCTAGCTGACAAAAGCTAACAACAACAGCAGCTGGTTTTAAGCTAACATTATGCTAGCTAACGTTAGGCTAAAGTATCCTAAAATTCCTAAAAATCCTAAAAATTCACACTTGATTACATTCTCACACCTTATAAGAGGTTATTCACTCAGAGTGTCAGAGTTCAGCAAAGTTACACCCACTTCAAAGACTGTTTCACAGAAGCTAACAGAGGCTACCAGCAGCAAAAACTACAGTGCCACCTAATGTTCTGCATCTCCTCAACAACTCACCTTAGTATGGCTGTCATTGTTCAGACATGAGCTTCTCTGACTCAGTGACACATATTGGAATTGAAAATAGAGATAGGTGCTTCTTACTGGGCATTGACAGCTAAGGCAAACAGAAGACTGACAGCTTTTCACAAATAGGAAAAAACTCTTTCCGGATCTGGTCCAAACATTAATAGAAACATGCCGACTGACCATGTCACCATGGGGAACAGTCTAAATCTAATGTTTATGGTCTCTCTTGGCTGACTACAACATGTTTTTCCTTTGGCCACAGTATCTAGGATTATACACTTGAATCAGGGACAAAAGAACTCAGGTGACTGATTTCTGCAATCTACTGACATGTAGCGGTTAGATTGTAATTCAAAAACCCAAAGAAATCATGGAATCTCTGTGTGTCCCTATATTGTTGACTAGACATTAAAACAAGTGTTTTGGGCCAAGGAAAAAGCTATAAATATAAAATGCATACACAATTACTACTTAACGATCACTTTGACATATTTGAATGTCCCATTTGAATCATTTATTCACCTGTTTAATGTAATGTCTAAATATCATTCTCCACAATTTGCATAGGATCATCAAAACTGAACAACAGAAGATTGGAAAATCATTGCCTGGTCTGTTGAGACTCAGTTTTTGCTGCAGAAATTCAGATGGTAGGGTCAAAATTTTGTGTAAACAACATGAAAGCATGGATCTATCCTGTGTTGTATCAGTGATTCAAGCTGATACTGGTGATGGTGTAATAGTGTGGAGGAGATTTTCTTGGCACATGTTGGGACCCTCAGTATCAACTGAGCATCATTTTAACACCACAGCCTACCTGAGTATTGATGCTGACCGTGTCCATCCCTTTATGACCACAGTGTACCAGTCTCCTTCCAGCATAATAGTGCAACAGGTCACAAAGCTCAAATCAACTCAAACTGGTTTCTTGATTCGTTGAATGAATTCACTGCACTTAAATTGTCTCCACAGTCACCGGATCTCAGTCCAATATAGCATCTTTGCGAGTTTGTTTAACCGAATATTTGCAACAACTGTGTAATGCAATCAGGTCAATATGGATCAAAATCTCTGAGGAATATTTCCAGCATTTTGTTTGCTGTGTTTAAGGCAGCTCTGAAGGCAAAAGGAGAAGACTGTAATAGCAAAGTATAACTAATGAAGTGCCCAATGAGTGTATAACCAGACTTGAATGTAAAGTTTAGACCTACCAGCAAGTCAGAAGTGAAGCTGAAAACTGGGTGTTATAAACAAATTGGATTTATTTATTCATTTGTTCATTTTATAAAATCTGTATTACAACAAAACAATGCAAAGAATCCCTGATATTTAAAAAGAATGGCACTTTCCTTTTTCCTGACCACATTAGACATCATCATGACATGTTTTTTTTTTTAATGTCTCAGTTCCTGAGATATAAAACTTGCTAGAAGCAGAATCTCTTTGGTCATTACTTTTAAACATAAGAGGACATGCTTGAGCTGTAGGGTTTTTTAGTATTTTGGGTAGATGGCCCTGGAGATCTTTCCATCTGCCTTCTTAGAGTCCAGCCATTTCCCGCAGAGAAAGATAGTGGTAACACCATTGGCTGTGTTGGTGACTTCCACACGATCGAGCAGCCAGCCAGGGCTGAGACCGGAGTTGTCGTGTTCTACCCGGACTTTCTGCAGCTCCCCCATGTCCAGCATTTCCACCGAGAAACGGTCTGTTTGCCCACGTTCAAAAAGGTTACGAAACTTCTGACGCAGTTGCCTGCAGCCCGAATCTCCATTGGAGCCATAGAGAGTAATGAAAACATTGGCATCTGTTCCTGCACCCTTTTCATCACCTGTGATGACGATGATCTCATATTTGACAGGTACCAGGCTTCGAGCTTTGCTTGCAAAGCTCTCGATGGTCTTCGTGCACTCAACGGTGATGAAATCGTCCCTCTTAGGAGAAAGAGGAATGAGGGAATTGCATTTGAAAATGTACCTGGAGATAATGGAGCAGAGCAGAAGGAATATAGTCTAACCATTTGGGAATATCAAGAAATTGTTTGATGGTGGAAAATAAATGAATGGCTACAGTGGGGAAGCAGCTGCCTTACTTGTTTCCCAGCTCTCTTTCGGTCACAACAACCTCCTCCACGTGCCAGTAAACCTCCCCCTTTACTTTCTTTCCATCCTTGGGTGTATGGCCCAGACAGATGCCAGCAATATCACCCAAGTTCTTGGATGAAAATTCAAACCTGTCAACGTTTCCCCTAAAAAGAGAGAGGAACACGGATTTGTTGGTGAAAGTAGCTATTCCCTTAAATTGCTTTGCGTTAATTGAAATTCACATCACTGCCAGTTTGTTCTGTGTCAGAATTAATCTTTAACAGGATGGAGTATAGTCATGACATCAGAGTGCGGTGCTGGTCTTAAGTATTTTGGATAATCATCATGAGGGCAGAGAGAGATCCAGAGGGAGAGAAAGCACATTTCTTTTTCATGCAAACAAGCTGCCGGTGACTGAGTTAATCTTGCAGCAAGTACCTACCGCAAGAACCTCTTCTTCTTTGAGGAGTTCTCCATTACAAATTCTTTTGATCGACCCTTTCTCCCTTCAAGTACAATCCAGGCATTTTCCTTGGTTTCAGCTGTGTCCCCAGTTGTAATACAAATTTCATACTCTGTCATAGAGAAAAGGAGACTCAGTTACAGTAAAATGTTGTTGCACTAAACTACAAGGGGGGATAATTCAATGCTGTGAGGTGCCAGCCTTACTGGTCTTTTCATTGAGGTCCAAGTAGTCATTGTTAGCACAGGCCAGCTCTCTCATTATCTGTCCATCATCATCGTTCTTGGCAAGCCAGCGGTCACAGGGGAAACGAAATGTTTTGTCCATGATCTCGTCCTTCACGTCAATATACTCCAAGTGCCAGCCTGGTGCAATACCTGCATGTAACGAGATGCAAAAAATACCAGTGTGCAGTGCTTTCAAACTTTTCAGTCTAAGAACAGTTGAGCTAAGCTGTTCACCGTGCCAGTTAGAGCAGCTGACCTGTGTTATCGTGCCAGACTCGTACTTTGGAGAGGTCTCCCATGCTGAGGATTTCTGGGAAGCGAAACGTGTCCACCTGCTTGCGCTCAAACTTGTTGGACTTGTTGCACTCTTTCAGCGCCAGTGTTCCCGTGTCCCCGTTCTCTCCAAAAATAATGATCCACACATTGGCATCAGTGCCCGCCCCTGAAGAGATGCAGCAGTTTACTATTTAGAAAATAAAAATCCTCGACAATAATAAGGGATTTTTCTTGGTGTGGTTACACTTTTAAATAAACATGGGTGGAACCATGGACAGAACTTTGCTTGGATCTTAGTCTATAAAGTCACAGCTTCCCAGTCTACATGGTCACTGAATGCAATTAACTATAATAAAAATGATTTGCTGTCACTCGAGCTAGCTCTAATTATATACGTGCAAAGCAATTAAGCTATATCAAAGAGTTGTATGGCAGTAAAAAGGCTGTACAGCAATAGCAAAGCTGGGTTCTCTGACTCATACAGCGCATCTATAATCCCCCTGTGCTTTATTATTTTATCACAGTCGGTTAGATCCTGAGTGAAACCTCACTCAGCCTGCAGCATGTTTTCAGTGTCCTTGCTTAAACTCGCTTCTGTAGAGTAGGCAAGAATGTTGATCATTTAACAATCCAGCAGTTGTAATAAGAAATTATCACGCTGGCAATATTTGAGATCTGGATATTTTTAAAGTTACATGTAACATATGTAACTTATGTGACATATATTCTAATGCACACACTTGATCTTCAGTACCTCTTGATAGTATACGTGCATAGGCCCAGCTCTGCCTATGTGATGTTGTTTGTGGGTGTGTTTGCATCTATCAGCCTTGCTCATTTTTTCCTCCCAGAGCCTTAGTGGCGGTGCAAGGCTACATGTCAGCTTCCAGTAACTGACAGTGGCAGAGAGCAGCCCTTTGAAGTCGGCTCAGACTTCTTGCCATTCTGATCGTATTGATCAGCAGAGCAACTGAGCTAGATGAAAATACAGGATGAAGAAAAGATGGAGCAGCGATGTGGAGGGCTTCTGAAGAGGATCTCTTTAATTGCCACGAGGGATTCAGCCATGAATTATTCCACCTTTGCCTTTGCTTAGGAAAACACAAACCCCTGCACAAGGGCAGGCGAAATGAGGCTCTAACTCTGCATTGATCTTTGGGTAGTGACTGAAAACACGGGATGGCAGTCATACAGTAATTAGTCTCTTCCAGGCAGC